TCGGTGGGAGGGAGCGGCGGCCGCCCCCGCCACTTTCCTGACTTTGGGAGTCACAGCGCTCTCCACATCTGTGATCACGACAGGTTGCTCAGCATAGCTCAGGGGCTGCCCTCTGCCACCGAGCTCTTCAGAATGCTCCCACTGCTTCCGAATCCGCTCCTTCAGCTTCTCCAACTTGGCATCGCGCTGCCGCCCTTTCAAGATGTCCAGCCTGTGAACACTAGAAGTATTTGCAGCAGAGGGGGAAGACACCTTCAGTTCACCGTTCTGAGAGGTGTTACTCTGAGGAATTTTAGTGCTATTCTCCTCTCCTCGGGAGCCACTAGTTCTTTCCTCTTCCAATCTTGGACGTGCTGCAGCCTTAAGAAATGCATCGTTATTCTGCAAAGCATCAATTGCTGGCCGGTCATTCAAATACCTCACGACAGTCTCATCTGCAGCTGAGGAAAACCGGCTTTCAAAATCTCTGCTGCGTACGTCCCGCTCCTCTCGGTCGTGTATCATCCCGCCTGTTATTTCATTCTTCCCTTCTGCTTCGCTCAGGTCCAAACCAGAGAGCAGCTGCTTGCCCTCAAGCTGGCTAGAACTGTGGTAAGACAGAGAATTGTATGTATGCCTGATGTAATGGAAGGGAAAAAATGTCACCATGAGAAACACAGCTGTAGGACCTCCCCACCCAGCAATGTTCATTAATTAAAGGCAAGTTCTTTTAACATTTACCCACCACACATTTAATAATGCAATCTGATGAAATTAGAATAGGTTTCTGCTCAAAATTTCATTTTCTGCACTCTCTGTCGGAACAGGAACATACAAAAAGTTGAAGAGTTGAAAATAGGGCATGTAGAAAAGCAGCAAGAAGCAATATCAGCTTTCAATTTAAAAAAAAAGGTTTAAATAAAATCCAAACGTTAAGCATAATTAATATATGTTTTCTGAAACAAAGCAATGCCCATGTGCACAGCTCCTCACCAGCACATTCATTAGCTGAGAAAATAAATAAATGGCAGCTAAAAACCTTGCTCTGTATTTGTGCACTAAAAACGCAAGCCCCTGAGACAAGAACTTCAGAGTGAACTGGCTGTACTGCAACAATCCCGAAGCTTACCGAGAGCTTAGACATGCAACAAACCAAAGATCTTGCAGCCTTTTGTCACAGAAAAAACAGACTCATGGCCCATACGTTGTTAGGACAAAAATGTATTTAATATTGTTACCGATGAAGGGCTGAAGATGTGAAAATTTGGTACCTAAGCTACCTGGCTTGCTTCTTCAGTAAGTACATTTAAATAACTCATATAGGAACAGGTCATAATATTGTACTTTCGAAATTGTCTACCCTCTTTCTCTAGCAGCACACTCCTGTTACACAGTATAGGAATCATTACCCATTAACACAAGAGGTGAGTGGCTTAACTGCATGTAATTTCACCAAAAGTGTATAAAATTATGCAAACCCAGACCGTTCTACCCATTATTCTGGTTTTGTTTTCCTATGCATACTTCAAGGATGCTGTTCTCAGAGGAGTAATGTGTTAACGGAGCACCTCTGATGTTAATTCCCAATTAATCCCAGCCATGCCACACAGCCTTCTCACAGGAGGAAAGCTATTCTTCTCAGCTGGATATAATAGCATGAATCTAGATGCTCTCATTTTCTTCTTTTCCCTGAAGCCTGTTAAATTTATTACATGTTCTTAAAACAAATAATTGACATGTTAGTTATTCTAGACAGGGCAGACAACAGAGCTGTTCAACTAACAAAACTGACCCAAGATTACACAACTCCGACGCAACACGGAAGAACCTCACAGCTAGTACAAGAAGCAGAAAAGGAGACCAAAATTTAGATGTCAGGATAACAACTATTAGTAGAGATAGAGTTGAATTAAAACAAATACCACTGTCCCAACTCTAGTCTAATCAGTCAACAGTAATTTGACTTCACTGAGAGAACACTTGGGAAAAAATGCAAAGTATGTGTTAGAATCCAACAAAAAGCTATTACCAACCCAACCAAGCTATTCCTCAGGGATGCAAAGAGCACACACTGTGCACAGAACACAAGGAACCGAAAAAGTTCCAGTAGAAGTCTTCTAGGCTCTGACATTACAGCAAGTTATAACTAGTTTATTTCTGCTGCAGGTTCTCTTCCTGTCTGAAAACTTCTGAGGCATCTTATATTCATTGTAGTAGTTAATGTAGGCTAGGGAAAAACAGGCTTCCTATTTTCCTGCATTGCTCACACCCCCCCAGGTTATCTGCAATATTCTGTGCCACTTTTTTCCCTGATACAGCTCCTCTTATCTGGGCTCCTTACACACAGAAACTGAATGCACCTTTAGAACTAGATGCTCTTGCTCCGCACTGTCTTATGGCAATACACTTGGGGAACTCCTTCTGAAGAATTAAGGAAAGAAATTTGGAAAAGCACGAGGAAATGCTCTTTTTGGTGCCCTCATCAAAAATAAGTACCTATCCAACACAGGAAGCCACTGAGGCCACAACCACAACTTGATGGATCCGGCCACATTTCAACACGTTTGATTTTAAACTCATATTCAGTGAACAAAAAAATAAATCTGTAACATTTAAAAAGGAAGACACTTTTCTCCAAGGCTCCACGTTGCTCGCGTGTGTAGGTGAGGGGAAGATGTCAAAACCACCACTGTTAGCCTAATTCTAATCCCAGCGTGCTTTTCTAGAACAGTCAGCTCTCCCAGCACTAACCTGTACGAAGCCAATGGTTCACGAAATTCCACCCGACTGCTTTTTGTCACATTGCTTTCAAGAGTGGTTGCTCGAAGTGGGCTGCGTGAGGACTTCTCCTTGCTTGATTTATTTTGGCTGGAAGACCGGGAAGCTGAAGCAGAAACCAAAGAATCCTCTATGGACCTATCTCTCCAGAAAGAGAAAGCTCTTGGGGCTGAACAATTAAGAACAGAGTTTTTCTTGGGTTCCACAAGCACTCCAAAATAACATTTAAAGCACTCCTTCTCTTTTTCAACAAGCTGATTTCCACAACTAGGAGCAAGATAGTAAGTTCTAGAAATAATGATCGTATTTAAAGAGAGAAAATAATGCTTCGACATTAATTATAATTACTTCTGTGGAAGTTGACCGTATTGCCACTAGAGGTCGATCTGTCTGTTCTTCTCCAGCGGCGCACTACCAGAATCCTCTAAACTGCATTTAAAACAAGGGCTGACTTCTTAGAAACAAATGCTCTTCTTAAATGAAATAAAGGAAGCATCAAATTTAGAATTCTAGCAGAGTGTAACAAACATTAAAAAATATAAACAGCTACTCCAGTGTAAACACAGGCACATGCAATTTTTATCCAAAATCCCCCAAACACATGGGACCAGCACGGGGAAAGTACTGCTGGCTCAGAGCGTGGGGCAAGTCCTGTCACTTCCTCTAACCGAGCGACTACGGTAACACATTCTCCTTCCTAAACTGAGGGAAGAAAACATGAGTTTCACCCGGGCAATCAGAGTTTCAGTAATAAAGATCATCAGTAGGAGACAACTTGGGGGAACGAAAGAAGAATGTAGTGGCTTTACGCTGCCTTACATGCTGTGTCCTCGACGACACCTACCCTTTCTGCTTATTTTCCTGCTCGTGCTAGCAGAGGGCTTCCTGGCATCCATGACGGAATCGAACACAGCCGTGCTGGTGGGACCTACTTCCAGTTTGTTCTCTATATGACGTAGCTGAAATTTGAAGAAAGCACAAATTAGAATGCCACTTGCAATTTCTAAGGTACAGTTACTTTCCACTGACATGACAAATGTTTCCTCGTTTTCACGAAGAATAAAACTGCGTCCAAAAGCAATTTCACATGCCTGATGTTGCAAAACTATGGCCTTATGACCAGAAATTACATCGGATTAATAAGTTGTGTTTAAAAAGATTATCTAAATTAGGTTTTGTTGCACAGTTCTGTTTCCATAAGTAGGCTGTTGTGAAAAAATTAATAACAACATACCATTCAGAGTCTGAATGAGTCAGAGTTCATGCTTGGTCTGAATGAAATATTAATTCCACTTGGAATAAATTCTATAATACTCTTTTCAAAATGCAGTATGATGCAAGATTCCACATGTAAAACCTCATACTCATGCTCAGCTCTTAAAAAAAAGAGAGGGACAAGGCTACAGGAAAGAGCTGGAGTCACCAAAACCCCAGGCTGTCTGGCTCCACTGAAGTGAGGTTTTACAAACTAGAGTGGTACCTAAGGCACTTAAGTTCCCACAGAAAGACAGCAATTCCAGTGCTCAAAGATGGAAAACTTTGAAATATACTGCTGTTATCCCAGTTTCTGACTGGTTTGGCTGAGCAAGGAAGAGTTATTTTTTCAAGATTTCCAAAAAATGAGAAGTCATCACTTTCTCAGATAGAAAGGCAGTATCACACCCAAGACTCAGGAGGTATTTCTCAAGACTAAGCTTGCTGTGGCAAAAATTTCTAGTGTGTGAGGAAAACTTTTTCCAGGATACAACAATGTTCAGCATGCACGTACTCCAACTGCTTGCCCCACTTTCAACTTGTTTAACAGGCAACTGCTGAGCAAAATAATACTTCGGTTAAAGCTTTTGTAGCCATTAACTGATCTGAAAAGAAGCAAGGAAAAAAAAAAAAAAGAAATCAGTACTTACAGCAGCCTTAGTCTGAGAGAAAGGAGCCCATGCTGCAGTCAGATCTTACAGGGCAGAAATAAAGATATAAATTTCTCATTAGTACATAGAAAACAATGCAATAAAATGTAACTTCGTAACAATTTTCATGGTCACACTAATTAAGTTCTTTAATGACTCAATTCCAGCCTATAAATCTCCTTTAAGAGACGCTGTCATCAGTCAAGACTCATGTTAACAGAGCAATAAAGTATTTAATATAAAACTTAATGAGCTCACGAGTTAGCCTGAATGTATTATTACACTTGATACCAAATCCACCACACGTTATCTTCTAGAAAGCTGGTTATCTACCCCAATACAAATATTTTACATTCTTCCATTACACTATCGTTAACTACTTTTTTTTTTCCCCCTTCCATTTTCTTCTTCAGTAAACTAAGCATGAATGCATAATTACTGACTACTCTAAAAACAAGCTTTGAATACATGAATTTTGAATCGTAATCTTTTTGAACTGTATACCCCACAAACACAATAGCAGTGATGTTTGCAAAGAACAAGCAGGAGGCACTAATCAACTTCAGCCTTTTCATCTAAACAGACAGCACGTGCTTTATGGGTAGTCCAGTTCAGTCGTATTTTCCTCTAAAAATATTTACTTCCTCAGTTCCTCTCTTCTTGCCGTTTCTAATGGTTTTCTTCTAATCTAACAGTTTATACAACGCGCCACCCAAAGCCTTACTGAGCGTCAGAACCATGGAGAGTAGCAGTACTAGAGAGTTTTGAAAAAAATAATAAAATTTCTTAGAGTAAAAAAGCTGCCCATTTCATTTCAGATAAGATCAACAACAAAAGGAATTGGGTTAAGGAAGTAGCACAGAAACAACCAGGGTTTGCCTTTGAGAGGTGGTACTTCATGTCCATAGAACACTTCAGCTTCACAAGAAACTGAATGTATCACAGGAAACAATCAGCTATAACGTCCTTTTACAGAAAAAATAAATCACCCGTCTCTACTTTCAAAATTACTTCTGGAGTCCAGTTCTGCCATAGTGGAGATCATAAAGACTGATTCTGAATCCCAGGCTTCACATGCCACTCAGCTGTTCTCAGAGACCAGCGCTTTCTTCCTCTCCGGGACGTACCGTAATTTATCGATCTTTTCCACCTCTCCTCTCCTAAATTACAATGTAATCATGACAGGAAAAAGCTAACCAGATTCTTCCAGTTCAGGGAGACAGAAGTGCTGCAAGTCATATTAGTGGTGATTCAAGAATCTTTAGCTCTTCGCCACTTCAGAGCCGAGAAAGAGTCAGCAGCAACTGCTTCCTCTGGCTCTTCTTCACTTCTTTCACGAGGCTGCAGTTCCCAATTCCTGTTCCTGCACTGCTCCTCCTCTACAGCACTCAAAACCAGGAATAATCTGTCTCTGTGCCATGTTGGCACCATATCACAGGCCGGGAATTCCTAACGCAGATCAGTAAATACTCTGCAGATCAGAGGAAGAAACTGCTGCCTCTGCAAAAACGAAGCCATATAAGTTGTGGTCTTGGCTTCCAAACTGAGGCAGGAGAACGCCTTCTGTAAAGACTCTACAAAGTTTCAAGCAACTCACGACAAAATATCTTTCAAAACAAGGCAATAAAACAGAGAAAATCCATACCTCTGGTAGAATCTTTGTTTTGGTTGTGCCTCGGATTTTGTAGAGGCGCCTCATTTGACTTGTTACTCCACATCATGTCAATTTATCTACAAAAAAAAAAAATTCACATACGAACGAAATAAGTATAAAAGGTAAGAACAGATGTATCTTAGGCTAAAGAGAATATAACCTTGATCACCATGATGAACGTTCACCTCATATGACGATTTCAAACTCACATCGTGAACAAGATCGGAAAGTCGGCACCAAAGCGCCAACATGTTTACAGCTTGCAGCTTTCCAGAATCAAGAGGGTTTTGCTTTTGTTCTCATTTGTTACAAAGACGAGCCAACTTGATAAATGGAAACCCAGAGGTCACGCAATTTAGGATTCCAGCAAACCTGAACACGACCACAGCGAAATGCTGCCGACGGCGGGATCGAGCGCACGCTCAGCAAGGCAGCTGATGCCACTGAGGTGTGTGGGGTGGTCAGCAGGCTGGAGGGAAGAGACACCTTCCAGAGGGACCTGGACAAGCTTGAGACATGGGCCCGTGCAAACCTCATGAAGTCCAACAAGGCCAGGAGCGAGGTCCTGCACTTGGATTGGAGCAATCCCAACTACAAACACAGGCTGGGCAGAAAACAGATGGAGAACAGCCCTGGAGAGAAGGACTTCGGGGTGTTGGTTGACAAGAAGCTCAACGTGACCCAGCAACGTGCACTTGTAGCCCAGAAAGCCAACCCTATCTTGTGCTGCACCAGGAGAAGTGTGGCCAGTAGGTCAAGGAAAGTGATTCTCCTCCTCTGCCCTGCTCCTGTGAGTGCTGAATTCAGGTTTGTGACATTGATCTGTTGGAGCAGGTCCGGAGGAGGCCATAAAAATGATCAGAGGGCTGAAGACGGCCCCTACAAGGACAGACAGAGAGAGTTGAGGCTGTTCAGTCCAGAGAAAAGAAGACTCCAGGGAGACCTTATAGCAACCTCTCAGTCAGGCCACGGGCCCAGAGGGGAAACTGGGACCGCCTTTGTACAAGGACATGTAGCAACAGGACGTGGGGTAATGGCTTTAAACTAGAGCAGGGTAGATTTATATCAGGTGCAAGGAAGAAACTCGTCACTGTGAGGATGGTGAGACACTGGCACAGGTTGTCCAGGGAAGCTGTGGAAGTCCCCTCCCTGGAAGTGTCCAAGGCCAGGTTGGATGAGGCTTTGGGCAACCTGGTCTCGTGGGAGGCAAGAGGTTGGAACTAGATGATCTTTAAGGTCCCTTCCAACCCAAACTATTCCACGAGTCTCTGATGAGGAGGCTGAGAGGAGACCTTATTGCCCTCTACAACTACCTAAAAGGAGGCTGTAGTGAGGCTGGGGCTGGTCCCTTCTCTCTAGTTTCTATTTTGACAGGACAAGGGGAAATGGCCTCAAGTTGCGTCAGGGTAAGTTTAGATTGGATATTCGGGGGAAGTTCTTTCCTGAACGAGTGGTGAGGCACTGGAACAGGCTGGCCAGGGAGGTGGTGGAGTCACCAACCCTGGAGGTGTTTAAAAAAAAAGTAGATCTGGCACTTGAGGCTGTGGTGTAGTGGTTGGGTGTGCTGGGATGAAGGTTGGACTAGATGATCTTCAGAGGTCCCTTCCAACCCCGAACATTCTGTGATTCTGTGATCATAGGAGCTTTTAATAAAGAATAAAAAAAATAACAAAAACTACTCCATCTGGAAAGATAATTTTTAAAAGAAAAAGCAAGTAGTTTATGCAAATTGTTATTTGCCACTACTTTCATCGCAAAAAGTGTGCTGTCATATGTAAAGTTGTAAGTGTCTTCAAAGTAGTGCTACATAAGAGAAAAAGTAAGTTTAAGAGATTTTAAGAGGATTTCATACAGCCAACAAGAACCCTGAGTAGTCAGTACCGCCGCTACCCTGTCACCAAGGGCCTCCTGTCTGGCGGCACGTGCTTACTGAGCTGTCTTCACAACACACTGGACTTTTCTATTACGGAAAGAAAAAATGAGGTGACCACAGAATTCATACAGGAAGTTCTAAGCTTCTGAAAGAGTCATAAAGGCTCGTTTTCCTCTCTCTTCTCTCATGCACTCCCCAATATAATTTTTTTTTTAATTTTTGAAAAGTTATTTTGCCTTCACTTCCCTACGTAGCGTGCCACATAAAAGGTCATTCAAATTTAAAGGTCATTCTTCGGATGCAAGGTGACCAAACATTCCACAAAAATAACACTGTGCACTACTTACTGGAACTGATCGCTGCCTGTGTATTTTGTGACAAGGATTTTTACCATATATAGCTTTAAGAACGCACACAGGGATCACCCCTGGCAGAGTTTGGTCCTCACATCCAGACATACAGTTTGTATTCATGGCAGTAAGTTATCCCACAAAACTGTTCTTACGCCCCAAGAAAGGCTGTCAATAAGAATCTTCAAAAGACCTTTAGTTCTGAGTTTCCTTAAAGAATCCACATACACGTTCGG